TCATATATATATTTTTTTCCATCTTAGTCTTTCTTGGGGGAAGAAAAGCTCCCATATTCGCATTACAACTGGCGACCGGCTTATGATTCCTTAGAGAATCAAACCAAAATATTTCACATCATGATGTGAAATTGTTTGACCTGATGAGACGAGACCGATTTGATCTCGCGAAATAAAATATTACCATGAATTTCTAAAGTATCTTTTTTCATCATTAATATATATATATATATATATATATATCACATAATGCTCCCAAAGAAAACTAGAACAAAATATAAAATGGCTTAAAAAGACAACTGTGATTCATATCGATCTTTTAACACCCAGTGAGGCTCGAATTCACTCACTTTTGATCTAGCGAGACAATCGTTCAAACCCTGACACCAGGTTGAAGTGCCCAAATTGGTGCAATTTTTGCTTTACGCTTATTATAAAAAGAATATCATTTGTTTTGCATAACCTGATGTCTGCTGCTATTTGTTTAAATATGATCAAGAACAAAATAAGAATAGTTGAAATGCAACAGCAATAACAACAAAAACAATTTTTTTTTTTAATTTCAACAATTGTTGTTTTTATTATTATTATTATTTATAATTAATCATTTGTACACACGTTCATTCTCGCTTTTTTTCTCTTTCTCTCTTGGTCTTTCAGTGGACGAGACACTTTTTGTAATTTTTAAAAGATTTTTTTTTTTTTAATTTTTTCATTAAACAAGACAAACATCTTGTTCCCAGCATGCAGTGCGGTGATGGTAGCGGAGGAGCCATGCCTTATTAAAAAAAAAAACAAAAAAAAAAAAAAAAAAACAATTCTGGGTTTCTGCTATTAATTAAAGAGCAATGAAAAGGGGAGATGGTGCGGTTGAGGGGATGACCTGGCGATTTGACTGAGGGGAGTTGGGGTGGGGGGATTTCCAATTGAAGAAGATGTTGACAGCGAAAAGGAAAATATGGCAGTATCAGAACATAGCATAAGCGACCAGTACTGATTTTGGTCAAAGAAATAATTTTGGCAATAGAAAACTTAAAAAGGCATATATTACCTTTTTGTTAGTTCCATCTGAATTCAAACAAGTAAAGCCTTAAGTAGTCTCGCCATGGAGCAATGGTTAACAAAATTGTTTTTCAGACAGTTACACCATCCAGTTCCTTCTACATAAACTGCTTTATTTCAAACAAAATTAATGGATGCCTACTGCAGCTTTAAGGTTAGTATGCTCATCTTGCAGTCTAACTATATAATTTAAAGAGTTTGAGCCTCACCAAGTGCCTGAAATTCATGACATTTTAAGGTAAGTAACATGAATGGGGAGATTTTTAATGAACGATTCATTTTACATTGAAAATTATTTTATTTTAAACTATTTAAGTGTTAATAACAAACTGAATGAAATTGGAATTCTAATTTAGCGTGCTTATCACTTTTTTACTAATACCCATGTGGAAGGCATGAATCTATTGCTCCCTGTAGTTTGATATATCACCAATATGTTTTGGTTGCATCATCACTGGTATGTCATTGGTGAATCAATCCACATTTTTGTAAGCTTTTACAATCACACCAAACTTGATTACGCTGAATGAGATATTGAAAGGGGTGATAAAAAAAATAAAAAAAAAACGTTCATGTTTATTTAGGATATAATAAAAATATCCCCACCCACAAAAAAGAAGGTTTTAACAGTGAATGGATGACCATCTGAATCTATCTGTCTGAGATCTTAATTAAAAAGATCCAAAATCTCATTAGAGCTTCTATTCACATGATTAAAATTGTTTTGCCAATATTGTTCTGTCGCTGCCATCTTTTCTTCACTTGGACAACATTTTCGTCTTTTTTATATCATTTTTTCTCCACCTTTTTTTTTACCGTAAAAATTATTTTAAAAAACGTGACAGAAGCAAAAACTGATATAAAAAAAAGAAAGAAAAATCAAAAAGATTTAAGAATTTGTTTTTCTGTATATCCGTCTTCAAAGTCTTTTATTTTAGTTTTTTTTCCATCGTCAGTGAAGGTGGAAAGAGTTTGTTTCAGTTCAGTGTGTTGTAAATGAAATCACAAAGTTATTTGTTTTATATTTGTCTTTTTTTTTTTAATCCATTTTTGTTATCAAACTTTAGTTTGTTGAAAATTTTTAAATTTCATTTTTTTTTTATTTTCACAATTAACAGATGATAAGAAAAGATAATTGGATTGTTATTGTCTAATCTTCCCAGTTTTCTAGTTTGTTTTCTTTTCTTTTTTTTATCATGGGCTTTGTGATCATTTTTTGTAATTTTTTTTTTTTTTTCCAAAATAAATGATTTTGTTTCACCATAAAATGCTCCCATTTTCTTTTTCTTGAAAACATTGAAGAATAAGTTGAATATTCAATTCTTTACAGTTCCCTCCATGAAGAAATCACAGTAACCATTCACTCGCGCTGTAACTGTCTTTGTTGCAACTGTCTTTTCTCCTAGTTTTTACAGACTTTTGTGTAATTTTTAATTATTATTCTTTCAAAGAAAATGAATTAAGGGTGAGGAAATAGAGGGGTAAGAATTAGGGGTTGGGTTGACAGTGGTTGGGGAGGGGTTTCTGTACAAAGTTGTGTTAATAACTAAACTTTAACTTTCCGGGTAGAATGAATGTTCCATGAAAAGAATTTAGTGAAAAGATATATGGAAATGAGTTTTCCGTTTTTTTTTTCTTTCTTTCTTGTTTTTTTTCTCTAAACGCTTCACCGTTCCTTCTTTCCTTTCATTATTTACCAATTATGATATTCTTAACAAAAAAATAAAAAAAAAATAAATAAAAAAGAAAGAACTACTCATTTAAGGTCAACAAGTTTACCATGTAAGTAAGAAAAAATTACTGTATATACATATAGACTTTTACACCTTCTGGGGTTGAGGAAAGCTCATGGAAATTTGGGGGGATTTATTTCTTTTTTTAGGTGTAAAATTTAAATAATGAAAATTTTATTTTTATTTTTTTAATGCTCTTTACACCCACCACAAGTTTTTCACTCTTTTTTAATTCAATCTGTTTTTTTTTTTTTTTTTTTTAATTGCCGAAAGTAAGAGAAGTCATATCTTATTCTTTATATATACAAATATATACACTAAGTTCTGATTTGTTATCAGAACTGTTTTGATTTTATTTATACAGATTATATATATATATATATAGGTGTGTGTGTGTATGTGTACATTCTTTTAACTATTTGCAGTTCAACGTCTAAGTTAGCATCAATTTCATGTCTTTTTGTATTTTTCTCTGATCTATCTTCACATCAATTATCCAAAACGATGTTAATTTTAACAGATAGACATTTGAACATTTTTCTTTAAAGAACTAAAAACCTGTTTCTCTTGTTACTTTATATAAATATGGATTATTTTCTTTGAGTGCCGATTCCACACTTCACGGATATTCTTCACTAAACAATCATTTCCTTAAATGGAAGAAATGGTTTTATAAATGCCCAAAATTAGGAATTTGATATCTTTTTTTTTGATAAGGCTTTTAACTATCAACTCTCATTTACAAGTCTTATTTTTATTGGTTTTGTCAATTAATGTTTGACACTTGTCATTTTTTTTTATCTCCCAGTTCATGAAGTATTTTGATGCCTCAAGAATACAACAGTAGGTAAACATTATGAACTGACAGACACATTGTCGTCAGTCATTGACATATCATGTCTTTTTTTTTTTTTTTTTAACAGAACCTCCTACCAGACACTAAATTTTCTGGCATCAAATTGCAACCAGCAAAAATATGCAATCAAGGAATTACTAATTTCTTGAGAACATCATTTCTGCATAGGGATCTGTCCACTTTTTTTTGCTTCTTTAGAAAATGGCTCTAGTCTTGTACTTTTCTGCATTTGTTTGTGAATGAAATCCAAATCTATCTGCTGCCGTCATTTGTTTTCCTAAATAAGTTTTTGCTTAACAGGAGAATCATTTTCGTGAGGCGTTACACCGGTGAAATATATATGGGAACTCAAACATTTTGAAGAAATCTGATTTCAAATAAAAAGTTCTTCCAGAAATTTAAGGATTCACTTGTTTTTTTATATTTTGTTTAATTTTTGAATTTTTGAACATTTAGAATCCAATTTGAATCTGGTTCTTTTGCAGACATGGAGCTGAATATTGATACAGATTTGGCTAATCATTTTACACCCAAAGTGATAATAAAATTTCCAAGACTTCTTTAGGCGCTTTCACATAGTGTGGAAATTTCTGGTTCAATTTTGGTTTCAGGTTTTGCCAAAATTCAAAACAAAACTGTCTCACCATTATTAAATGGAACAGAAAAGTTATTTTGTCCCCTAATATAAGAGGAACTGACAAAGGATACAGCAGCAATTAAGTCAAATAATTGATTAATAGCTGCTATAAATTATCCCAAATTTTTGCATAACATCTTGAATGATGATAAAATATTTTTTTCCGGAGTTTGAAGTTTATATTATTTGCTTTGTTCACAAAAATCTGTTCAATTTTTTGTCAAAAGACAAAAGAAAAAAAAATATATATGTATATATTACACGCACATACACACACACACACATATATATATACATACATACATATATATATATATATATATATATTTTGAGGGCAAAATAAAACATTTCTTTACAATGAAGCAAATTTGCTTCATTTTGTTTGTATTTGTGTTGCCATTTGTATCATTTTCTCTTGGTCTTTTTTATTTGTCAAGTTTTTTGAAAGTGACATTTTTCATTTTTTTCAAGAAGAACTTCAGTCTTGGAGAGGAAGTTGAAATCTCTTTTTTTTTTCAGTTTATTAAAAAAAAAATGTGCAAATATATTTTTTTTTCTTTTTCTTTTTGCATTTCTTTTTCAAGGCTGGAAATTCCCTTCCAAGTCATGAACCTCAAAACTGAGGTTTCAAGCAATTTCTATGTGATCCATCATCACATTTTATATCGCTTTTTATCAACAGTTTTTTTTTCTATTCATTTGCACATTTTTGCTATGAAGAGACGATTACTTCCTTTGCAGTTTGCTGACAATAGTTGCACATCTTGTAAGCAGTTTCTTTTTTCTGTTGCATAGCAACTGCTTCTGTGAGAAGTAAAGCTGCAGCGATTTTCATGCCTAAACTGCTCCTAAGATGTTCACAATTCAGAGCCAGAAGCATTTTTCCCGTGACTTGGTTTTCTCGGAAAATCTGAAAAGAAAAAAAGAAAAAATTAGTTCTGAACATAAAGATATAAATATTTGCTCAATGACTAAAAAAAGGAGAAAAAAAAAATACCAGCAGATAATCAGTAGTATAATTGGCAAACAGATTATATTAAGACTGAGCAGCCATTCCTTAATGTAGAAGCATGCTCAGAGTGGAATATGTAACCAATAAGAAATTTGATCAAGAAAAAAACTTTATACTAGGAATCTGAAGTTAAAATATCTGGAGCATATAATGAGGAAAAAGGGCTTGGAGAATTTAACACTCATAGGACATATTGAAGATAAAGAAAGGCAAAGAGAAGCAATTGGTAACCTACCTAAGAAAGTTGACAAGATATAGACTAGATGGAATAATAAGAGGGACAAATAATGTTTAGTGTTACAAAGAACTGAAAAGTCCATGTCGTGAAGAGACACAGCACAAATAATTAAAAGAGTTCATTTCAGAATTCTAGACAAGAGTTTAAATGTGCTGACAAATGCCAAAGATAAAAAAACAATAATCTGAGATCGTTACAAAAACAGTGAAATACTTACTTCTGTATATTCTGAGCAGCCGTCTAATTGTGATATGAACTGGCACACCTCATTCACTGTCCACTGGTGGATATACCGAGGAACAATGCCCTTTTTAAACGTGCATGTGCAACCGTGACTCAAGTCAGCATAGGTATGGGTTTTTGAGAGAAGTCCTTCGTTGTGCTTGGATGATTTAGAAGTATCCAGTTTCCCAGAGACATTTCCGTTAAGTCCAGCCATGTTAATACCGTTTAAACCTAAGGACGAAGCTTTGCTGCTGCTTGAACTTGAAAGTTTTTTGTCTTTGCTGTTCGACATATTCGTGCTGCTACTGCTGCTGTTACCATTAAGTCGAAAGCCGGAGGGATGATGGTGGTGGTTGTGATAATCAAGCTTTATGCGTTTTGTTGACAGATCAAGGGCCTTATCAACATCGGATGATGAGGACCGCTTGTGCGCACCGGACGATGATATCGTCGAATTGGAGGTTGTTGAAGAAGAAGAGGAGGAGGAGGAGGAGGAGGAAGAGGAGGAGGAAGATGAAGTAGAAGTAGGAGTGTGGGTCGAAGATGAGGATGAGGTGTTTGTGTGGCCAGTTGCGGCCGTAGATGGCACACAGTGTGTTGTCGGAGATGTTGCTGAATTCGGCGTCGACGTTGTACAGTGGGTCAGCAAACTCTCAGGCATATATGGCATTGGACGAAAGAGTTCTAACATACGAGGAGCTTCCAGAGGAATACGAGGAGGGTAGACAAACGGAGATATGAACTGGTGTCCTTGTAGGCCTTGAAGGCTAGCAAGCTGAAGTGCCTGGGGAAAGAAGCATGGCTCTCGTTGCAGAAAAGCAGGGTGTCCATACAACATACAGTTTTGAAGTAAAGGAGAAAATCCTGGGTGCAAAGCAGCAGCAGCAGCCTCGGCTGGCCGGAAACGGTGCAGATATTGTTCATATCCATTAATATGTGGAAGCCTGCAAGAAAAAAAAAAAAGCATATTATTAATAAAGTATTCAACGAATGAACAGTTATCTCCCTTTGCCAAAAAGTCACGGAAAATAAACCTACAACATAAAGAATAAAAATATAATAATTTGAAATCACTTTTATTTTTTTTTTAAACATATACTGGCTTAGATTCTAGAATGTTTTCTAAAATTGATATCACATCAACTTTATTGGGGAAACCACTTTTAGACTGGCATGACCTGTTGCCCTTCTTTATTATCAATATGTCCTATGAGTGTTATAGTCTTCAAGCCCTTTTTCCTCATTATATGCTCCAGAAATTTTAACTTCAGATTCCTAGTATAAACGTCTTTTTCTTGATCAAATTTCTTATTGGTTACATATTCCACTCTCAGCATTCTGGCATGACATTCTAGGAATGTCTACTCAGACACATGAAAGAGCGAGATCTCTTTGGGCACCTGCTCAGATTTTGGAAAGTCTGTCAAACCAAGGATTTTTCAGCACCTACTTACATATACATATATGTGTGTGTAGACATTAGGTAGTTGTATGGATAGATAGATAGAAAATATTATTCGATGCAAATTGAACCCATATCATCCCAAGACCAAAATATATTTAATACACGAGTGATTCTCAATTAAGAAGAAATTTTTGGTGTTTTGTGATGACAACAGGTGCCAGATTGGCAGATTCAAATTGATGGAATATTGATCTTGCAACTAAAAGTCTATAAAACAACTTTTTTATTGAGATATTCTTGGAAACAGAAAATGACATTCTGAAATATGGGAGAAAATGATAAAGAACTCATGTAATACACAATTTTTGCAGGACATAGAAATTTTGGTAAACATGGATAAACATGCCTGCAGAAAAGTCACAATGTCAAAAGGATGGTTTTGCCCTCAACACCACTATTTTTTTTTTTTATCTCCCTTCAACTCTTTGGCAATGTTCATTGTTTTAAGAAGCAATGATTAAAATTGTAATAAAACTTAAAAGTGAATATTTAGTTTTTCTTTGTTCTTGAGAATTGACACCAAAAATAATAAACATTATTTATTTATTAGATTGTTTATTGGTATGGTTGGCAAAACATCAGCTAATTGCCAACTGATTTAAACTTTATAAAATTGTAAATAATAAAGATTTTCTTTAGAGTTGAATCACATATTTTAATAATTTAGTAAATGTTTATAAATTTATGAATAAAAATTGTTTTCATGTTTATTTCTTTATAAATTGGCAAATGATAAATAATGCATTACATTAATTCTACTTGTATTAGTTTTTAGAATGTCGTAAATATAGAATATTCTTGTATTTACAAAACAGTCTAATAAATGACTATCGTGCTTAATATTTTTGTTGTAAATTCTCAAAAATTGACTTTCATGTGTTTAAGTTTTAATTCTAATCATTGTTTTGTAACACAATAAATATTACTGAGGAGTGAAGGTAGTTAAAATAATAGCAGTGTCAAGGGAAAAACAGTCCTTTTGATACCATATCTTATTGTTATCACGTTTATCCATGTTTGCCAAAAATGATTAATTTTCTTGTCAACCAGTCTCAAGTGGTTAAAAAAAAAAGTTTTCTATACTGAAGGAATTTTTAAAAGAAAAGAAAAATGATCATGAAAAACTTACAATTTGGGTTGAAGATGGCTTGCTGCCAAAAGTCTCATAAAATCACTGTATTTTCCATTTTCTTTCTCTTTTTCTTTCGCTTCACGTGATGGACTTGAAGACCGGCTTCGCTTATCTTCCTTACTCTCAATTCCATTCGTTTTGATTTTGGGTGACGATTCGGTTGGTGAATGTTTATCTTTGCTCACATCCCTTTGTCTGTCTTTATGATGATGATGATGATGGTGGTGATGGTTGTGAGTCTCTTTGCTGCCAATAGCGTCTCGCTGTTTTTCTGGCTTGGATGTTGGTAAATCACGTACAGTTAAAGGGTCTCGTTGTCTGTCTTTACTTGACTCAACAGATGAGTTATTTTTGTGAGTATAGGCCACTGAATTGACCTTGCTTTGTCCATGGAAATGCTCGCCGCGTACTTCACGGTAAATCTCCTGGGCAATATCCCGACGTGCATTGTTATTATCCTTGGGTGAATGGTGCTGACTGTGCGTATGGTGGTGATAGTTGTCATCTACTTTTTGCTCTCGGTAGATTTCTTGTGCAATCTTTCGATGATGCTGAAGTAAATTTTCTTCCGTTTGACGTTTCTCGTGACCTTCACGATAGATCTCCTGGGCAATATTTCGGGCATATGGGGATGACTCCTTATAGGCCAAGTTGCAGCAGACCTCTTTTTTACAATCGCCTTTACATTCTCGAAGAAGCGATTCTGATTTTGTCTGTAAGTAGATCTCTTCTGCAATGTTTCTTGGTGGTGAGCTGACATGCTTGTTGCCGTAAATGTTACTTGGTGAAAGTTTTACATCTTTATGGTTGTTGTTGTTGTGACTACTGTTGTTGTTGTTGTTGTTGTGTGAGGGTGGGTCCAGAGATTTGTTTTCTCTGCACTCACGATAGATTTCTTCAGCAATATTTCGTTGCGGAAGTGAATGATTGATAATATCTTGGCATCGTTTTTGCTCACTCACCTCTCGGTAGATTTTCTGCGCAATATCAGACCTTTCCTCATTGGAATCGCAACCCTGCTGGTGAGCTTCTGTAGCTGTCTTACAGTTTGTGAGAGGAGAGCTCTTTGCTTCACGCTCTTCTTTGACAAACTTGGCCGTATTTTTCACCTCGGAACCAGCCATAAGCATCATTGCTGCCTTGGCGTTGGCTTCGGCTTTCATTTTCATAGCAGCATCGCATGCCTCACATTCTTCAACCCCCAAACGCTGCTTACATTCTCCGACATCATCTCGAAGAGAAGCAGGATACTCGTCACCATTGGCGGCAACTGTCTTGCTGCCTGCAGTGTCTGCCTGTTCAACTTTTGGAGAGCTAACCTGGCAGACTGATTTATCCTTTTCTTCCTGTTTAGTGTCCTTATCTGTCACTTCTTCTTGTTTAAGTCGGGTCGAAGCCTTTGTCTCGCTATCTTCGTCATCATTTGACGTAACATCCACCTCGTCATCAGCTTCAGCATCACTACCAGATTCTGATCTTTCGTGTTCAGTTGGATGAGATGCTTCTTCTTCTTCGGAATTTTTCGTCACATCATCAGCACATTTCTTGCTTGTCTCGTTCGTATCATTCATCTCTTCCTTCATAGCATCTTTTTCGATAGCATCGAGTTCAAGTTTTGCACGTTTTCCACTCACATCTTCTGGAAGTGACGAACGGTTCGTGACAGCCAACTCATGGCCATTTGTCAAAGACTGATTTTCATCATTAACGTGATTTTCAAAAGATCCATTTTTCTGATTTGGAGATGAGCCATTGATATTTTCTGGAAAAAGAAACAAAATAGAATTAACAATTAAGGATAATTTGTGTTGCTTTCGTAAAAATTTTAAGAAAAACATTTCAGACCCATTTATTACAAGTCTGCGACAAATGTGAATCAAATGATTTTATCAAATGTGAATCAAAAAGTTTTAACAGATTTGAAGCAAGTGGTTTAATCAAATGTGAATCAAATGATTTTATCAAATGTGAATCAAAATGTTTTATCAAATATGAATCAAGGTTTTTATCAAATGAAGATGGTCAGATAAAAAATTCTGTTTAGAATGGACAAATATATGCAAATTAAATTAAACGTTCATCAAATTAAAATTAAATTAGGATTTTGTCTTCTACGTAACCAACTTACTCATCCAATTGGTTCAGTTTTAGATTCCTAAATCATTTGTAATTACAAATTCATTTAAAATGTATTACAAATAAATTAGAAAATAAAATATAGAAGATAATTGCATGGATATGAACATCATAGCTGTAATAGGGATCGAGTTTCACTTAGGTTTTCATACCCAGGAATGTTTGCCTTGAAACAAGCATTTATTTCCACTTCTTTTACCTCAATGTTTAACACTGCAAATTGCTCAGTAAAAATATGATTTTCTAAATTCACTTCTCTGAGATGAAATCTTAGAATAAGTCTAGTTTGTATAATTGAAAAAAGTTGGAATGATTACAATTTTTCTCTTTATTTCACTTCAAGATAATCAACGTCTGGAAAATCAAAGAAATACTGTATCATTGTCTAACCTGACCACACCCTTCTCTATCAATCATTGACATCCTACTGACAAATCTTAAAAAAACTAAAATAAGTCATAGGGTGGGGTGGGTTCATTTACCTTTCTCAAGGTCATTAGTTCAAGGTAAAATAAAACTGAAACATTTTAGGGGTTTTTAATGCCAATTCAATTATTTCATTTCTAGTTTCACTATGAAAACTTATTTTAATTTCAGAATGGAAAATGAGCTGTTATTACTATTCAATATGTTCTTTTATTTAAAAAGGGTGGCATGCAAATGTTTTAAAGACTCACCTGAGGATTCACTATGCCCATTCGTTAATGTAAGGTCACTGTATTTCTTTGATCGCATACGATTGTCATCTTCATCACTGGAAGGCAGGCCTTCCTTCTCTCGTGTTGTTCGCAATTGGTCAATTATATTATTCAACCGAGATTCACGTAGTGGACTGTTTAAAAGATAAAATTAAATAAGAGATGTACAAAGATGTTTTTAAAATCACATAATCAGGCATTAACAAAAAAATATGAAAAGAGAAATAGGAAGAAGTGAGAGAAAATAAATGTCTCACCAACCTGCAGCGTTTAAGTGATTTCCGATCCAAATCATTTGAAGAATTATCAGATTCATCACAGGACTTCTGACAATTCGAAGGGGATTTTGAATGACACATATTTTCTTCAGCTTTCCATTCAACCAATCCTCCAGTCAGGCATCTGTCATCCCTCATTGGGGAATCCCGGGAATCAACTCGTTTCTCTGCCAAGCGACAACGGTTCTGCAAAAGAAGAACATCATTAATGTCAAATAAACAATATTGTCAATAGTAGGCAATCAAATGAAAATAAGGCAGCATTCAGTATATCTATCTATGATATTTTCACACATATGCACGCAAAAAGAGGGGGGAATCAATCAAACGCCAATAACTAGCAGATAAATTAATGATATTAAACTTAGTATAAAATGGGGAAAAATTAGAAAAACGGTAGTCATTTACTGAAACCTCCTGACGAGTGGACGGTACGATTGCAAAAGGATTCTCTACAAAATTCTGGTGTCAAGGTCCTGAATATAACATCAATCAGCTTAGGGACAATTTTTATTTGCATTAATCCGATTATTATATATATTTCTAGTAATGTTTCTTTAATGTTCACCCAATACACAGCTCCAAAGCCACTCAAGGTAGAGGGTTTCTGTGTGGTGTTGTATTAGCCTAAGGCAAGAAGTGAAGTTCTTGGAGCTATGTAGGAAAAATAAAAAGGAGAGGTCAAGGTTTAATTAGTGAATAACATTTCAGAATTCAGTAAGGGACGTTAAAACTATAGTACGGATGTAGACTTTAGAAGGAACCGGAAACCAAATCCTGAACAGGAAACAAGGGATAAACTTTGTTCAAAAGACCAGGGAGTTGTGTGAAGCGTACGATAGGCAAATTGTATTAATCACTATATATATATATATATATATATAAACTACTAGTAATACTCGGTTGGAAAAAACCTCGGATAGCACAACTTCTAAGTCTATCAAAACAAACTGGAACCCGAGGAAAAAAAAAAGAAAGAACTAGAAACATCCGACCAGGGCGAAATAAATCGTCCAGTGCCTTAAGTTTTTAGTCCAAAGAAAAAACCCAAGCGAGTAATAAAGCTAAAACGTAGAGTGCTCAATACGCTAAGTAGAGCAGGGATAAATGGAATAAATCCTACTAAAGAGCCAGGAACAACCTACCTGTGTTTCACCTAAACGGATTTTCAGAGTAAGCAGGCCATGAAAGATGCGTTTAGGTGAAACCAAATGGTATTGTTCTTAACTCTTCAGGTTTATTCAATATATATATATATATATATATATATATATATATATATATATATATATAAACACACACACACACACACACACACACACACACACATATATATATATATATATATGTGTGTGTGTGTGAAAAAAATCATTTGAACAAGTTTTATAGTTCAACTGACAAGGTCTGTTTAATTTTTTTCTTGTATTTTTTTCATTTTTTTTAATCATTCGCTGCAATTTCAAATCACAACTATATATATATATATATATATATATATATATATATATATATATATATATATATGCTTCTATTTTATTGCTTTTTTACCGTTTTTCTCAGGTAATAAATAATTCTCTGTAGCAAATAAATACATGTCTACGATAATGATTTATTTTACCGAAAAGGAACAAAAACAGTCGAACGGACTGGAACGAAAACCTGATCTTTATTTAGTCTAAATAATTTAGATATGCAACAATTTATTCGAAAATCGGAAAGATACAATGGAAAACTTTGGTACAATTTCAGATTTGTTTATGAGACTAAACCCTTAAAGCTTATTTAAAGATGTTTTCTATTGAATTCTCTCGTTGAATAAAAGTCTAAAAATACTGGCGACAAAAAGAAAATTGTTCAGCTATAGAACTTATTAAATATATATATATATATATATATATATATATATATATATATATATCGAGATATAGACCTTATTAAAACTGGAAATGCCTACGTCTTTGTGAGAGCGTGTGTAAATGTCTCTAAATATAGACAATGAGCATCAAAGATTTGGTTACGTTAAATGTAACGAACTGAACAATAAGAAAATATTCAGAAGAGTCTTGTGAGAAATCCACCAGACGAAGAGGAATTAAAACGCGTGAGAAGGCGGGAGAAAGAGGAAATAAAAAAAAAAAAAAGAAAGAAAGAAAGGTCTGAAGTATGTAACCTTCGGCGCCACCACCAACCACCACCAACAACAGCAACAACAAATAGATGTAACAAAAGAGAACATTCACGAAGAAAGAAAGACTCAGTTTGGTCAGAAATTGTTTAAACGCAACAGTCCACCGAATATCCTCATCACTTAACACCCTCCCCCAACCGGCCATCTTTTCTATCCCTCAATGCCTACGACTGAAACAAGAAAGGTGAGGATATTAGTGTAAATGTTCATTATATATGGAACATAGCGGCTCATCCGAGAAATTCAGACGGAATTTGGTGAATTTAATACATACAGAGGTTGAACAGATTAATCGGCCGACAATCGGTAACATCACTTTCCGATTAATTAAATCGGTTATCGGCTACCTTTTGCCAATTAATCGGCTTTCATACTCCGTCACCTTGAGTGAATCTTAGTACAGCAGAAATCTCCTCCTTAGCTTAAAAAAAATATCAAGCCAGTTTTCACACACACACACACACACATCTTTCTTTACTGAATCATTAAACTACCAATTATCAACCGATTAATCGGTACAATTATGCCTTTGTCTATTTAAGAATATTGATTGTCGACAGAACAATTATTAGTACCGATTCCTGTGTAAGCAATGTCATCCTTTTTTACGGGTATTATTCTGCTAGTTAACAAATATCAACAAAAATGAGCTAAGCACCACCGAGTAAATGGAGAAAATGATAATTTATACCAGTGACTCCCAGAGGATTGACGGGATAGACGGAAGGGGGCACGGGTTAGGGAAATTTTGAATAGATTTCAATTTCAAGATTAGTTCTGTTAATAATAGTTAAGCAAGTATTTAGGTATTCGGGGTGGGGGATGGGGTTAGGGTTCTGTGGCACATAGCAATGGATTACTGATATTTGCGGAATTTCCTCTTTCTACGGCAATTGTTCTTGTTTGTTTCCGGCAATTGCGTAGATAGATAGATAGATAGATAGATAGATAGATAGATAGATAGATAGATAGATAGGCAAACGCTGAACAGACTGATATATATATATATATATATAGATAGATAGATAGATAGATATCACACACACACCAGACTCTCCCTTTAATCATATAACCCCCTCCCACTTCACGTACCCCATTTAGTGATGTCATTCAGGGCACCCCTCCTCCGTACCATCTCCGCTTTTTCTCTTCATCGAGTCGTTAGTTTTTTGTGTTTCTCTTTTTTCTCGCTTTTTTTTTCTTTTCATTTACGCTCTGTCCTCGAGGCTACAATTTTCCCTCGTTCTTTCATTTTTTTTTCTCTCTCTACGTTTTCCGATGTCGTCATTATGCATGTGCGTGCGCACGCGCGCGCATTTATCGCCCACCGCAGTCGGAGTAGTTTATTTTTTTTAAGCGCAACCAGACGAACGTGACGATGAGTGGCGTCATCTCCAAATACCAACTTCCACAGAAATTGTTTTCTTCGTCTCTTTTCCGTTCAGTATATCTTTCTTTTTCTCTTTCTTTCTTTTTCTTTTTCTTTCCTTTTCAAACTTACGAGAACGCGTGCTCACGTTTTCCCTTTCTTTCTTTTTCTTATCGAAAAGCATTGTTACGTTTTTATTTGCTTCTTTATTTTTAATTTCTTTTATTTTATTCTCATCTGCCGGGAAAATGTTGGTTGGTTTTCGTGCATGGCTTGCCGAAAATGTGGATAGGGACAAAAAACGTAATTAGAGACAGAATAATGGAGGAAGAGGGGGTTGGGAAATGAGTTCATTTGAAAAACGAAAGAAAGAAAAGAGAGAAACTTAATTTGAACAAAGAAGGAAAAGAGGAAGAACTGGTCTTGAAAAGCGAATTAAAAGAATTCAAAAATAAACAAAGACAGAAAACGTTTCCTTTTAGATATAAACTTCATTTAATAACTTCTCTTAATTGAAGAACTGAACAAAACGACTTTACCTATTAAGGTAAGTCATTTTAAAGATAAAAGTTTGATAAAAGTAAGATTAGCAACTCAGAGAAGCCGCAGTCATCAGAAATGTCCCTGGCGCTACAGTTGTCATTATAATGAGGAGGTAATGTCTGTAGAAGGACCACCAGCTTCTAGACTAAATCCGTTTTCCTTTTTAATTTCCTTCCAGTTTGGAATGTCTACAATTTGACGCCGAAAGTAATATTATTATTACAACAACAACTATTGTAGTAGTAGTAGTAATAATAATAATAATAATAATAATCATCTAATGGCGGTATTGGAGGTTTAGTGATTTAAAAGGCAAGAAAATCTTAAAATTGGTTTAAGACAATATGTACTTTTTAGGGGGGTCTTTCTAATGGCAAACGTAGCAGAAAAATTCATGGGGTTGGGCTTTCTTGTTTTTAGGAATTTCCTGAAATCATTGCTTAAAGGAAATCTTAATATAAAATTGTTAATAAAATTGCTTCTTTGTTAAATATCCAATGCATAGAATTTTGCAGTGAATTCGCGAATTGTCTATAAATTAACAGACGGTATGTTAAACGCATTCTCTTACTAATTATGTGTGTGTGTGTGTGTGTGTGTGTGTGTGTGTGTGTGTGTGTGTGTGTGGTGAGAGAGAGAGAGAGAAAGAGGTGATTAGACAGTTACATTTTGTGGATGGTGTTCTATACACACTTGGAATTATATTGTTTCAACCCTGTACCAAACTATATTAAAGCTACCTTTGATATATAAGGGAGGGGATTTGGTGAGATACGAGGTTGCGTCGAAATGAAAAGAAAATAGGAGGAAAAAAGGGTTTGGTGTTCATAGAAAAAGAGGAGGCTAAAAAGCGAAATGAAATGAGATTCAAGGCCGTGAAAAAAGAAAAAAAGAAAAAAAAAGAAAAAAAAAAGAAGAATTTCTGAGTTCAGTTAAAAGTGAAACAGGCAACACGTATTTGAGAAAGATGGGAATTGATGAGGAGCAAGAACCGAAAGAAGAAAGAAAAACTGAAGAAGGATAAACAAAGGGGAAAAAAAGAAAGAAAAGGAAAAGTAAAAGAAACAATGAAAGAAAGAAAAAGAGAAAGAAAGACAATCCAAATGAAAGGAAAAGAGTAAATGAAGAAAAGAAGAAAATAATGAAAGCGGATAGGGAAAGCGAAAGAAAGAAAAACGAATAACAACCAAAACAGAAAAGGGAAAAGATGAAACCCAAGATGTGCGTGGGAGGAGAAGGAGGAGAAGAGAGAGAGAGACTGCGAGTTGTGTGGATCGAGATGGAACGCGGGTAATTAGAAAAAAAACTGCCAAAAAAACTTTCATCTTAAATGGCGTCAAACTTATCTTTCTCTCCTACTAACGCCCCCTCCTCCATTTCCGTTGATCTGCAATCGACATACTTTTCTTTACCTTTAGCCTACATAAAAATATTCTGATAAAAATAATAAATTAATCGATCAGAAAGCATAGTTGATTCTAACTTAAAAGTATTTACTTCCCAAATCACGGTGTTAGAATGACACATGGTCAGTTTCACGAGGAGTGCTCATGTACGTACACATGGACTAAAAACAGGAATTCTGTCTCCTTTCCCCATCACCGAACACTGTCACACTGGTGCTGGTATTCACCAACCCACACAAGGCCGTTTTTAACGCGAGGTGCCAATCTGGGCAAAGCCAATAATTGCACAGTTCCCGCGACTATTGTCACGGTAGTTCTGATATTCCGCCAACCATCTCCCTTCTGAGCAATTACGGATGTACTGGCGCGGGGCTAGATTCCCCTGGAGCAAGCATCTCTCAAAGTCTTTCCGTGAATCGTGAAGATATAAACACGACAGGAAGGTAAAGAGCCGATACTACACTTTGATCCGAGTTTTAAAAAAGAAAGAAAGTAAAGTATGACAGTTTTACATACAAACAGAAGAATAGAAAATGTTAACTGATATCAAGGCTGAATCCTGCAGAAATACTAAGATTTACACCCCTTTGACCTTCATCGAGTGAGGCCTGATACTACAACGTCATTATTTGTGACCAAACTAAATAGAAATTATCGGAACAAATAAAAATAATCGTGCTGAGAAGGGTTACGTGTCAGAATACAGAGAAAAGTACCTTTACAATTTCTTTTTTTTTTTTAAAGAGTTCTTTTTTATGTCATAGAATTGTCTTGATTATTAGCCACTTTTAACTAATATATAAAAAAATGGATTCACAGAAATATATACACTACTAATAAGAAGAATATTTCACATATAAATATAATTTTTTGCTTCTTCTTGAACCGTGGCTTCACGTTTGCCTTCAAAAATCAATGTATCTATCTCCTTAATACCATCTATAACTCGCTATGTCCTAATACTTCACTACCTATTACCCCTACATATCATACCACAATCAACCTGTCAACGTCGCAACGAGCTAGTAGCTACCTAGGTTTTGCTCTATTTGTTTGGAGTATCGAGCATTCTTCGGTGAAAAGAACCCTTGAAAATCTGCCTTCCTTTATTCTAATGTCTATTTTATTCGAATTTACATCCGGATGTCTTTAAAGGAGATCGAATGATTGGCTCTCTTATGTGATTCATGGCCTATCTTTTTTTTTCGATACTTTGTTGACATAACAACTAAAAATTTCACAACTGCAGAAATACTGTTTTTTTGGTTTTTTTTTTTTTTTTTAAACATAGGAAGAAAAAAAGAACTTCATGGGAAGCAGACAACCATTTTGTAATTTCCAGCATTGTTTCAAGAACTTTAAACAATTAGGAAGTTATTAAACATTTCTCTCTATCCATCAAATCAGCCTTCTCGTGATAACCCATTTTAAAGCTTCAATCATCGCAACATAGCTCATTAATATGAGACTGAAATTCAAGACATTTCATAGAAATAGGTTCCGTTTGTTAACATCTGCGCAGAATAAAACCGCTTTCTTCTTAACTACGTAGATAGATCTGGCATTATTCAGCGATGAAACAATCGCTATTCATTTACATATCAATAAAACAAGAAGGCCTAATAACGTCAGGTTTTGTAAAAAATAGAATTTTAGAAATTTTGTTTCGTTATATAAAATTTCTGATGATACTAATTTCATAAGAAATTTTTAGAACGGAAATCTTTTAAGTTTTTGAATTCTATATTATTTGTCTTCATTGATCGGGTGGACGGGTTCATTTTTGTGACGTTATTATGTGCGTTTTTATTCTTGCGAGTGTTCTCTCTCTCTGTGTGTGTGTGTGTGTGTGTGTGTTTATTAGTTCCGCAGTTGTAGATTTTTTACGGGTTGGAATTGTAAGATCTACGCCCAACTTAGTTTGAATTCATAGTTATAGTTGTTTTAGATTCCCTTACTATTTAACCCATAGGTGGAGTAGAAAGATGGATTGCTATCTTACCCATGGGTATTTTTGCGAAAGTGAACTCAACTGGCCTCGTTTGAAATCTAAGCCGTGTATGCCAATCCCACTTTTCGTGCCGGTAACCGTGAGAGAGAGACTATATATATATATATATATATATATATATATATATATATATATATATATATAAAATCTCGTGCTGTTGTCGGTTTCCTGGGAACTGATCTGCTTGACCCCCATATATATATATATATATATATATATATAATGTGTGTGTGTGTAAAGGATGCTGAAAAGTCGGCTCGACGAAGAAAGGTGTTTTACTTTTTTTTATGACATTTAGTTATTTAGCCAGATTTAGAGAAATGGGTCGGTTGAAAATTTTTCAGCACCCTTACATGAGCTTAATAGTAGATGTTGAACAAAAACCCACGCTGCTCAAGAGTCAGTCACCCACAAGCATCCAAATTTGCGTGCACTATAATCAGATGTTTATTACCCATCCGCCTCACGCAAAGAGGAAGGGTAAATCGTGCTTTTGCCAGCAATAATCGCTGGAGGGGATTAATTTGACCGACTACCCAGTTCAATCCACCCACCCTACACCCTTAACCAGTTAACCACCCTTCCCAACGAACTAGTAAGCCGTACAAATAACACGCAAAGCAGTTTCGTCAGACACGTGACGATCTAACTTTAGTTTTACGCAGAAAGAGTCTTTTATGCACGGCCGCCATGATGTCTTCGCCTCCAACTTAAAAGACATTCGACATTTTTAAGACGCACCGTAATCTTTTTGTACCCGGCTTCGCTTGCTTTTAGAAGTACCACCCGCCGGCAAAAGCAAGACAAATACATTGTTTGTTGAATAAATCAAATAAAACTTGCTCTCAACTCTATAAGTGTGAAGAAATTCTGTCTGGGGGAAAATCATATTGTTAGGATACTCCAGATTTTACAAGCATATAAAAAAAAAAACTGACATAGAATTCCCTCAAAGTTTGACAAAAACACGGCAGAGTGGGGAAGACACTTGCTATTTACCTCACCCCTCTTTATGGAACATGGCACAAGGCCGGTTTATAGTTGGGAGCTTAAGTACGTAGATATGGACCAAGTCCTATAATTACTCGCAATCAACGTCGCGATGGCATCAGTGTTCTATCGACGCTTTCTCCTTGTTGCAGTGAGCGAGGTACTGCGGCATGGTTGGAATCTCCGGTGACTAGGGCTCCCTCATTTATTTGATTTGTTCTGTCAGAAGGCAGAGACACAATTGAGAGATCTAATGTAGTTTGTCCGCCCGAAAGTGGGATATTACACCTTGATTCGAGCGAAAAGTATATCTTACAGATAAATAGTACAGATGATGATTGCACTAATAATTATTAAAAGAATGACCAGTGGCGGGGGCGGTATGAACGGGGGGGGGATAAACGTCAACTATTCATATTCAGAGTTTCCTTTGATCAAAAAAGAAAACAAACTCTTCCATTCGGCCGTACTGATATTTTCGCCTTCAAAAAGACATTTGGCATTTTTAAGATGTACCATAATCTTTTTGTCCCCATCTCAAAGCCACAAGTGCCACTTTTGCCGTCACAAAAAAGAATCTTGTTAAGCATGGGAATATGATAAGAGTCCTTAAATATCTGCATTTCCTATCAGTCATCAGACAACCATAACGAAATTAGGGATCAAGCTTGTTAACCACAACGGATCGAAGCGAACTTTCCTTTTAGCAAGATTGTGTTGCACCATTCAACTTTGAAACTAACTGAAAATCGTCATTTGAAATTGTTTTTTTTTTCCTAAGCGCAATGGAAGAGTTCAATAACCCAAACAACAAACGTGGCCTCAGAAACTGACCCATTTGGTTGATATACAATGGCCTGAGTGAAATTAGTACCTCGATTCCGACACTTTTAGCACTGTTACTGAATAATAATAATAATAATAATAATAATAATAATAATACATATGTGGATAAGTGAAATAATTAAAGCAATTTTTGTTTTTGTTTCCTTGCAAAGGTTTTATATTCAAAAGTTACATTGTTGTGTGTACCCCGACAAGAAATTCAGCATTTAAATTAATACAACCAACAGAGCAAAAAATGTCTTAGTCATCGATAAGTCTACGAAAATCTCTCCTCGTCCTCATATATATATATATATATATATATATGAGAACGAGAAAGATTTACTGCATAAGGAGAAAAAAGCGATAAAAGAAATAGAATCACAAAAGAAAGACGAGACAGATAGAATAAAGGAAAATACGAAGAAAAATAATAAAATAAAAAAATACTGGGGGGGGGGCGAAATCACGAAAAATAGTAATGAGATCTGTTCGGCACGAGACGAGATCTATAAAGAAAGGAAACTTTTTGCGTTCATCTCAGAGCAGAGGCATCCGATTCTGCGCGAAGCACAGGACTCCAAGGTTATTATATAAATAAATGATTGAGAGAGAGAGACAGAGAGAGAGACAGAGAGAGAGAATGAAAAATGAGAAGCAATAAAAAGATACTGAAGGAGAAAAATCGACTGTAAAGAAAAAAATATAAATACACAAAGAAGAAGAAGAAGAAAGAAAGAAAGAAAGAGAAAAAAATAAGACACATTGACGGAGGAGAATAGGTTGGGGCCAGGGAAGCGTGTTTCATGGCGGCAGCAAGGAAAGAAAGATAGTTACATTAGGAAGAAGATCGATCATCGTATATGCGACAATGAAGACGGAGGCGGTACAGGAGAGAGGGGAGCGGACGTGGGCAACGGCAGAAAACGTATTATCACTAGATTTCGACTCCCCCCCCCACCTACATACCTTCTTCTTTGCCGTAATAAGCGGTTGATGGGGTGGGCAAGGAGAAAGGCGAAGAGGAATCTGATATCGATGGGGTGGGCGTTGTTGGGGCTCGGGAGAGTAACTTCGAAATTTTAGAAGTTGG